AATAACAAAATACCCATTTCATCTACGACAAATAGGCAAACGAGCCATAACTCTGTCCAGATTACTATTCACTCTGCTTCTGGCTCTCCATTTTTTTTTCTTTGGGACAGAATGGTTGTCGGTTACGTTCTCCTGCTTCTCACATTTGGCTCGTCGTCGTTTTCTCTTCTTTTTTTTTTTTTCCTTTTTTTTTTTCCTGTTGAATATCGTCGTTTTCTAATTGTTTTCTTTGGTCAATGTCGTCGTTTTTCTCGATTACTTTGTTGTTTTGACCCAAGTCCAAATGGGCAATTTAGCGACCGATATTTGTTTGGGCATGGTCCAATTCAAACTTGGCCCAAATCTGAGGTTAGAGCTTAGTACTGATTTACCCCTAAAACAATAATGTCAGTAACCACTACCATTCCAGAAACGCGATAAAATAAAAGACTAAATTTGTCATTCCAGTTTCCATGATTATTTATTGATTAATTGTTTGTTTCCTAGCTAAACCCTACCTACATCCCAACTATCTTTACTTTCCTCTCAAGAAAAGGAGAAAAACTCTATTTTTTTCCTTCTATTTTTTCTATTCCAGTTAGCAAAACGAACACAGTATATGAAGACACCAAATCATCAACAAACTCTATTCTTATTTCTTGACCAAGAGTTGCTGGGACTAAGATGAAGAGAATCCTTGGTAGTTGCTGGTTTGGAAGAAACTTTTTAACCGGATGCATCGATCTTCTATTAATTTTGATGCCGCATCTTTTAATATTTTCGATCAAAGGTAAGTATTGTTGATTTGTTGTTACAATTTAATTTACTTGAATATGTAACTGTATGACGTTAACTGTGATACTTGTTTGTTTTTATTTTTATTTTTGGTAAATAATACAATTTTGTGTTAATTATATCTTGAATTCTTTGATACAATTCTTATGAACCATCTATGTGATGAGTTCAATACTTATATTCAAATTTGTTACTAGGGTTGGAGAAGTCGAGAGATAAGGGAAACGAGAAGCCAACCTTAATGGACCTACCCAACGATATCCTCCTCGACGTCCTTACAAGACTGCCGATAAAATCACTTTGTCACATCCGTAGCGTATCTAAGACCTCTCTAAGCATAGTTGATAACCCATTTTTTGCTAAGCTGCGTTTACTTAATCCTGTTGTTGAAGGACCTCAACTTATGCTTCTTACTCAAACCTCATCTTTTATTCCTAGCCGCTTTGCCTTGCAATCATTGAAGTACAAAGGCGAGCACGCCTTCACAAAAAGCAAGTACAGATATGCACAGATTTTGTGCAGTCTCCGTTCTTACAAAGTAGATTTTGTTTTTGGCAACTTGTTTTGCTTTAAAGGGATGGGTAAATGCGTATTGGTCAATCCTCTCGGAGGAGAAGTTCTAGATCTAGAGTTGCCAACTAATGACCTTGTTCAAGCTTATTATCGAAAGTGGTACGGTATGGGATTTGATGGTATAATTAGGACTCATAAGATTGTTTGTATTGTTAAAAGTCAATATGCTTTCCAGAGGTACGTTTTTGTGGCTTACGTTTATACACTGGACATAAGATCATCATCGTGGAGAGAAATACACTCAATTCCCCAGTGTAAGTTTAGTAGCAAGAATGTATCTGCATACGGAGACATGCATTAGTTGATTTATCGTGATATAGGTGGAAGATTTCCCAATCGTATTATTTCTTTTAATTTCGAGAAAGATGAATTTTTTGGGATCCCTTATCCTAATTCATCACAGGGTTTTGGTCATGGTATGAATCATTTGCTTAACGTGAGAGGGTGTTTGGCTATTATGTCATTTGGGAATGCTTCTCTTCAGATATGGATACTAAAAAATTATGAAAAAAAAGAGTGGGAGAAAGATTACAAAATTGACAAGAAAATGTTTCCAATTGATCTTAGATCAATTAAGACTTGTGGTGAATGGGAGCATGACATATTTTTAACTGACATCTTTCGTGGTATGTTTTACTTTTGGGATGTAAGAGATAAATCCATAAAATACATCAAAGCTAAAACATTACTCCCTGGCAAATTCATTTATGATACTCTTCATTATCTTCGTCGGACAGAGTGGAGGCAAACGCATTTGAGCATCTTCAGGTATACTAACAGCATGATTTCCTTGAAGACTTTTGGCAATTTAGTTGAAAGACAATTGCGCAGGGGGACAATTTTTGAAGCAGCAAATTCGAGGACATGGGATTTTGATTTTTTGAAAGAGAAGCCTTTGTAACTTGGAGTTGCAATTTTTTTTAATTTAATTTAATTTACTGTAAACTTTCATGGATGGAGACCCGGTAAATTTGTTTGCTTTATGCGAAGCATTATCATAATAATAACTTATTCGTAAGATGGCCTAAATAATGGTTTTTGTGTTCTTCTGGAATAAAAGACAGATGTAAATAATTGTGTCATTCATTTTCTTTCATGAAAATTAAGGAGTCGTATTAATTACTGGTTATGGGTTAAACATATCCTAACACAGCTACTATGCAATTTAAA